CTTCTAAATTCAGATCTAAGCGTTAGCGTCATGTTAAACCCAAACAATATATGTGGGTAATTACCCTTCTGATTCTTGAAGTGGATGGTGCTGGAATTTCGCGGTGAAGAGAAGAATAAGAATCTGGATGAGAAATCGATATCGACTCGTTGATCTTACTTAATGCCTTATTGGTTCAAGTGTGCTTCATGCCTTGACATGCTTCCCGAGACATTGGAAGTTCATTTTTTGAACAGATATGTTGGTTATAATTTGAAAATTAACGAGACTATTTCCTCGCGTAAGATTCTCTTAAGTTTTCTTTCCTAGTCACATACCCTTTCTCAAGTACTTGCGTTTTCTGCTTTGTTTGCTCCTTAATTTCCAAGCAGTAACATCGAGTCCAAATCGTACTTCGTTGCTGCAATCTGCAATCTGTGTTTGAATGGCCATCTCAATCAATGATGCTTGGTTCATTTTTGCTCCGTTTCATACGTCGACTCTATTGCAATGTTTTCCTGTGTCGTATTCTCATTTTGACTTAGTTACACGATTATTCTTATTTTGAATACATGTGCTGAAGCTGGCGTGTCTATTGTAAGTCGAAAATAGGAGAATCGGTATACTTATGACTTGATTCATCGGGCTTGGTGTGATTGTATGAGATTTCCAGGCTTTGGTACAATGCGTTACTTGATTTCTTTTGAAGGAGAAAATGTCAGTCTTCTTCCTCGGATGTCCATGAGATTCATTCTTGGCTTTTTCTTAGTGTCCGTCCATGTGGCTTTGACTGGATGAGTCTCTAGATCGAATCTTTTTTATTTGTATCTTGATGGATTACAGGAGGATTATGGGTTTATGGTTGTGGGCCGCCCATGTACAAATGGCGGTTACTTAAGAATTCAAAAACAAAAGATAAAATATTGTAATAAAAAAGAGATAGCGGTTATCAAAAGGAATGATTAAAAGAGATTCACGATCTTTTTTTGAGTTAACTTCTTCTCTTAAGTAACGAAAAAAAAAAAAACGCCGTACAATGACTCCCATAGAAAAGAAGAACTCTCTCTCAAGGCTACTGCAAGAGCGTATTTAATCTGTGGACATTAAAGGTATGTTTATAATTGTAATATACCCGTTTTGATCGGTGATACAAGTATTTCCTGGGCATGTTTCTCATAAGTAGAATGCGAAATTTTGTTTCCAATATTGAGTAGAATACGTTTGTTCAAGTTTCGGTTTATGAGATTAGGAATTCGTCTTTCGTAATGTCTCTTCGGGTAGCTCTTCGTTCTACAGCTCCTATAGTATTTGAGTGTTCTTTCACTAAATCACTCTCCTTTTTAATATCTTTTTGTTTATGTCTATCCATCTCTAGGTATGTGGTATGTTCATCCACCAAAAAATAGATAAAAAGATATGAAAAAATGAGAAATAAAAAATCTCATAATTGCATTTATGGATCTCTTCAATATATGTCTTTGTTTCAAGTATAGTTTAGAGGATATCTTTCAGTAGAGAATTCTTTATTGTCAGAGTTAGCCTTAGATTTAATTATAGCTCACCAGGCTCATGTCCCAAGGCTCAGTAATAAGACCATGCATATTCTTTACCCGATTTGTGTCGGGTTTACTTTCCACACATTGTTCTTATTTATCTTTGTTGCCTTTTTAATGATTTATGTTGATCTCTTTATATTGCCTTCATGTTTTGATTAGTATATCTTCATTTCAATTAGCTGAGTGCACCATGGGATCAAAATCAATATAAACATCACGTGGACACTTAGCCGACTGGTACTTTAGGACTCATAAAGTACTATAGAAGCAAAAGCGAGGAGATGAAAAGAAAAAGGACCTTGAGAGTAACATTCAGTTCTATAGAAGCAAAATGGTAGGTGCTGCCAAATTGCCATTTCTATGCTTGTACTGTACTTTCCATCTCACTGAGAACATTTCTTTGCCTCGCAAACAAAAATAACTTGCCAAGCTGCACGAGCAAACTTGCGTTACTCCCAAGGATTGTGGTCTGTTTATACTTCCCAAAGCTCTCTCAATAAGACATTGGAAGAGATGAAACTAACTCGTGCATCTCATGTTTATTGAATCAAAAGTCAAACTGCCTTTCAGTCAAAAGAAAGTTGGAAATGCCAAATTGAATGAGTTCAGCATACGAGGACATTGAAAATTTGGATGGATAATGCTGAAATGTCGAAGTAACTGAAAATACAAAGACAGGAAGATGTCCATGACACTAAAGGGTAATGGCAAACTCAAATGCCCAAAACAGTGAGACTACTTGCAAATGCAATGCAGAATGAAACCAATGTAAAGGAGACAGGGTCTGAGCTTGGACATCTAATTTTCTCTCCCTCTGGGAATCTTTATTTACATGAGGATCTTCACTCAGTGACCTAAATCTGACGGAAAAAGGGTTCATAGTATCTCAGCTTGGAGGTCTCCATTGATTTATTAATGCATTTGGCCTTTTTTAACTAGCAGCGTTAGACCTTCAATGCTAGCTTCTGAGCAGCAAGAGCTTCAGCCTTGATGGGGGGCGCCCATAAATTAGTTTCAGTAAGTAACAAGGTCACAACATATGGGTCCACGTTTGAGGCAGGATGCCTGTCTTCCAAGCAACCTGTATATCATTTTATGCCATTAACTAACTGAGCAAGGAAGGTGAACTTTGTATTTTCTATCGATATTCAGAAATAGTGAAGCATTGCAGAAAGTTTTTTGAGGCACTAAAAGAACTAAGATATCCAAGCCTTAACTTCGGTTTTGGAAGCAAAACCGTGGGAATGCTTTATGATTGCAAAAAGTCAAAATTCCTTGTATAGTAGCAATCATAGAATCGGCTGACACCGAAAAGATAAAGAATACTTATATATATTATTTTCTTATGATATTGTTTCTGGAATCATCTATTAAAGTTGAGCATCTGTGATTGATATTCAGACAGAGCACAAAAGGGAACTGGGATGGTCATTGTTATAGTACCTTTTCCTTGCTTCTCAATGCCACGGCCCACATGGATTGAGCAACCACGATTGGCAACTCCCTGCATAACAATTCAAGTAATTCAGGCATCACAAAAAAATTTGAGTTCATTAACAAGGCAATCTTCAAATTTGACTAGCAACTGGTATGTTTCTTCTGAGCAATACCGAAAAAAATGTGTCAATGTTGGCTGTTTCATGCTTTCCAGTCAACCTTCTGTTATTTCCTTCTCCAAAGGCGCTAATATGCTCCTCGCGGCATAATGAGAGATTCAAGATTGCCTTCTTTATCACTTCAAAGCCTCCCTCTTCTCTCATGCTTTTTGTACTGCAGAAAAGATGGGAGCACACTCTTAAAGTCCTTCAATGATCAAAAATACTTAACCAAGTCCATGTTATTTCTATGGTGTGAACCTGTAGTTAGTGTGGCATCCTGCACCATTTAGTCACCCTGAGAAGGAAGAGAGTGTTTTATCAACTTTGGGGTAATAGATTGCGTAAATGGTGATAGTGAAGTCAAATACCTCCTTTGGCTTAGGATCTAACATGAGGACGACACCAGCTCGCTCAGTTATTCTGTGTTATATAGGCAACAAAAACAATCAAGTATTTGAATACCAAAGAACATGTCTATATGCACTTATTCCATTTGCCGTTAATGGCATTCCATTATTTTCTTGAGCAAGTAATTGAAATTTCACCTTAAGAAGGTATCTTGAACACCACAGATGATCTCCCGCTTCAATTCCCACGCTTGGTCCTACTTGGTATTCTCACTGCACAATTGAAGCTAGTGTTGATGGCAACAGTTTTGTGCTTCTTTTTTTATTTTTTTCCCTTTTGAAAAAACAGACAAGATGGAGGTCAGATATTACCTGGCCCGGCATCACCTCTCCATTGATACCACTAAATTTGATACCGGCATATAAGCAACCCTTATAGTGAACATCGGATATGTCTTAAGTCCAAAAAAATAAAACATCGGATATGTCTCGGCCAAATGACTTATCAGGCCCAACACCACAGTAATAAGGCCCCTAAATGAACATAAAAGATCACATCACAATACAAATTTTCTCATCAGCTTAGCCTATAATCCATCAATATATAGGGAAATTCATTTGGAAACAATTTCTCACTTGGGGACCTAGATATCCTCTAACAGGCCAACCTAATGACCATCGAATATTTGTCTGCAGTAGGGTGCTTCCTTGCTCAATCCCATACCTAATGTGAACATTTAGCAAAAGTCATGAGCTCGTCCATTTCAAAACTTTATAATTCAAGATAAAAAGAAACTCATGTTTTTGGATATCCTACCATGAAACGTCATAGATAGCCTTTGGGTTACTGGAAATTTCAGCAACCCTGGCATGTTTGTTCGCTGGAATCGGCCTGCTAGCTGGTATGTATAAATTGCAAATAACCTGCAGATGAACAATAATTCTCCGTAAACCAATTGAAAGGTCCTTTCTTGTTTGATCAACCTTTTCAGATGATCTGATGGATGAACAATTTATGACAACATAATACTTATTTCGTGGATGATTACCAAGATAATGTTGCCACCTCGGAAAGGATCCTTGAAAATTGCTTGAGGGCTGTTAAAAAGTCAAGAACTTGATGGAATGATGTGAAAGTAAATATAGTACGACAGTTTTGGGTTTATGTCATCTTACGGTAAGATCACTTCGCTATCCTCCCCCCAAAGCTTGACCAGTACTTGATCCATCCTAGTTCCACATGGGAAGTTCAGGCAGGTGCTCAACAGGTCTAAGGATCATCTGATTATTCACGAATTAATAGATCAGTAGCATGTAGCATGTAAAAAGAAAAGGTGTCAGTTGTTGAATGTGCATATAACATATGACATACTTATTCTGATGGTAGATCGAAGAGAAATGCGAACTTATAATTTCAATACAGAATAGTTCTAGTAGTGTTCATCTTTTTGTGGACCGCACTTAATGGTTTTAGGCATTAAAACATACCAAATGTATTCTGCAATCATCGTATGGGAGAAGACTCTCAAGCCTGTAATAGAATTGTTCTCGGACTTCAAAGCATACACCCTGAACTTAGAAAAGCTCTTGCTGTTTACACTCTTCTTTTACTTCAGCAAGAGAAAAATCCATGCGTTTGCTATGGTAGTCTGTGAATTCTGTCATCCTCATATGGCATTGTGTCGTCGGTGCCAAAATCTGCGCCATTTCTGCCTAGTCTGAAAAATAAAGCAGTGTGAGTAAATAGACATATCTACTAAAACAAAAAACCTGGGAGCTTAATCTCATGGAAGATAGTTCAAACATCGAGCATTATTTGTATGACTTGGCCTTCTGGTATGCATGATAGTTTACTTTTGAAATGATAAAAAAGAATGGACTGGGTACTTCAAAGACAGCACCTTCCGCCCTAAGCTTAATCTCATGAAACCACTTTTTGAAGACTTGTTTCAAGTGGGAAAAACTTACATTTTGAAGCATAAACAGCGAGGCTCAAATACAATTGCCATGAACAATTTTACACACGCAGGTTTCGACGGAGGTATAAGCTTAGAGATCGAGTGGCGTAGTCTTAGACCACTTGAAATTGATTCTAGCCCAAAAATAGAGGGATAAACTGAGAGTAGATTTATAAAATCTTACTTATTTTGCAAGCATGATTTCTAGAAAACGAAAGCGGTAGAAATCAAGAAGATGGAATGGTTAAAACAACTTAGTAGTACAACAGCAAGAGCAGTGAAATGCGGTGCGACATCTCTTCCGTGTAGATGACAAACTATACCACTCATGAAATACAGAGCATGATGATCCAAACCAAAATGCTTTTGAGATAGCAGTCACTGACCGCACATCATAACAGTTTTCGAGCTGCAAGTCCAGTTCGAGAAGCCAAGTCAGCAAACTCGGCTCATCTTCACCACCAGATCAAGCAATGAACCCAATCAAAAGATACAAAAACAAATTCGTATGACGTCGAACTGAAGTAGTCAACTTTGATCAGGAGCCGGAACAAAGTGAGAAATTCTCAAGAGGCACCAATAATTCAAAAAATATATAAAAAAAAACCGCAAAAAGCATTAACGATGATGCTGAACTCGGTGGCAATTGTCCTCTCTCCATTACCAAATCAATGTCGCAAACCCTTGCGCTCCTAGCGAGAACGAATGTGTTGTACTCGTTCAATGCGATGCCTTAATAATCCGAATTAGGCCTCGCGAGAGAGAGCTCAAGCAACGGCTATGACAAGATTCTCTGAACATCAGAATGCAACCCATCGTCGACCTTCTCTCTCTCTGTCCAGAAGCAGCGAAAGCGAAGGGGTGTTTGCAAAATCGTGCTGGTATTCCTCTAGGGTTAATTCATGTCCCCAAATCGAATCTAGTATCGAAACACAATTCGAAAATTATACATGTAAAAATCTGGGTAAACAAACAAGGTCCCCACGTACCTTCATATTTCAAAATCGATGCGGGGGATATGAGCGATCTTGTCCCAGTCCTCGCCTGCATCTCTCTTGCACCTCCTCTCCAATTCTGGGCAATTGTAGATTGTTAGGTGAGTAAGGGATGAAAGCCTTCGTATTCCTTCGGGTAATGACGTCAGCAAGGGGCAAGTGCCAATTTCAAGCCGTTGAAGTGATTGAAGGGCCTCGATCTGCTCTGGTAATGCCTTCAAATTGGAGCAATTCTCAATTTTGAGACGCTCGAGATTGCTGGCCTGTAGAAGCCACTGTGGGAGATATGCTAGTTTGGGAAGGCCGTTGATCCACAGGGACCGAAGACTGTGATGGAGTCCTCCATGGAAATCCAAGATGAGGTTGTTGTTGCCGCCGCTTTCGTCTTTGGATAAATCCAGCTCTTCACAACCCCAAATATGGAGATCCTCGAGATTGCTGGCCTGTAGAAGCCACTGTGGGAGAGATGCTAGTTTTGGAAGGCGGTGGATCCACAGGGACCGAAGACTGTGATGGAGTCCTCCATGGAAATCCAAGATGAGGTTGTTGTTGCCGCTTTCGTCTTTGCATAAATCCAGCTCCTTACAATCCCGAATAACGAGATGCTCGAGATTACTGAGCTGGAGAAGCCACTGTGGGAGAGATGCTAGTTTGGGAAGGCCGTTGATCCACAGGGACCGAAGACTGCGATGGAGTCCTCCATGGAGTCCTCCATGGGAATCCAAGATGAGGTGGTTGTTGTTGGCGCCGCTGGTTTCGCCATAATTGGATAAATCCAGCTCTTCAGAATCCGAAGATTCGAGATCCACCGGGTTGGATTGATGTCGCGTACCCTGTGGTGGTGGTAGTGCTTTTGAGAGGGAAGTTAACCCAGGACAATTCCAAATGCTAAGATATTTGAGGGAGGTGAGGCTTTTCCAGCACTCTCCGGGCACACACTCTAGAGACTCCATGTCCTCGATTAGCAGGCTCTTCAACTTGTCAAGGCCAAAAATGTTATTTATTAATGCTGGGTGGGCCCTAATCAGCCATAACTCCTCCAGATGCGGAGTTGGTGGGACAGCTTTCAATTTTTCACAACTGTCGATATCTAATTTCAATAGACTAGGAAATGATATTGTTGAAGTGGATGAATGATCCGATACGATGTATTCCAATTCACTCAGTTCCGAAATCTCTAAAATCTTGAGGCCAAGTAGTTGGCCCAGTGGAGGGAGACGTTTACATCTTCCGCAACCGTTGAAGCGTACCTCGACTAATTTTGGCAAGAAAAATACAAGGCTATCCATCATCCACCTTGGAAAGCTCTCGCCTTCATATCCTTCGATCCTCAACTTTTGCAAATTTGAGTGTGGCCTTAGTCCATCTAATAGTGTTTCATCCCTATTCCCAATTACTGAATCATTAGTATTGAAATCGCCCCATTTAAGTTCCAAAGATTCCAGAGAATGCTTCCCTATCAAGTTCGCAGCCTTGGATTCTGCTACTGCATCCATCACGCTTCCTAAATTCTCAATGCGAAGGCTTTCCCGAATGTTATTAAGCTCTTTTAGCTCCCCAAGTTCGCAACAATCCTTAGCAAGAGCTTTATCTTTAGGCAAAATGAAGCGCGTTAGCCTATGCAGAGAACGCAATTGCCCTAGCCCGCATGGCACATAACCAAGTTTCCAACAATAATCTATGTATAGATTTCGAAGGCTGACTAACTTCCTTATACCCCTTGGCAATTCTTCAAGGCTAAAACAGCTATTGAGATTAAGAGTTTGCAAATTCTGCAATCTCGTAATGGAGTTAGGAAGCCTTTTTAGATTAACATTGCCAGAAAGGTCGAGATACGTGAGATACTTCAACTTATAAATGGACCTTGGCACCTTCTCTACATATGTGGTATGCAGATCCAAGACGCGCAACCTCTTAAAACTTTGAATGAGTTGGCGTAAATCTGCTTCACTCATTGATTCCATTTCCCTATCACTAGCAGCACACAGAAATGTTCTTAGCGCACTTGCTTTTGAGCACGAGATTAGAAATTCACCCGTCAAATTGAAAGTTGAACCATATGATACATGACGAGTTCTCTCATGTATGGATTTTGTGCGATCCCATGCCACCCGACACTCGGTCCCGGCAACCAAGCATGCTAGATCATGCATCAAATCATGCATCTTGCAAGTCTCCTTGTCTTCTTGAAAATCTTGGAAGAAGTTGCTCCAAAGTAGATCCATGAAATATCCATGAGCAATGTCTTCTAAATGTTGACTTCTATTTGATGGCTGGATAAAACCTTCAGCCACCCAAAGATTGACTAAAGTCTGCTTCTGTATCTCATAATCTTTCGGAAACAGTGAACAGAACGTGAAACATTGTTTCAAATGTGAAGGAAGATAGTCATAACTTAGCCTCAAAACAGATATTATGTTGTCTTCCCTTTGAGACACATCTGGGAGCTCATAATCTTTGAAAGTTAACCATTCGAGTTTAGTTTTCTTAAAGAATAGTAAACTTCCAACAGTTCGAACAACCAATGGGACCCCGAAGCACTTTCTAACTATCTCTTTGGCGATAGCTACCATTTCAGGATCTTGTATCTCCTCTTCTTTTCGATAAGCCATTTGCATTAATAAATCAAGAGATACACTTTCAGATAAGCCCCCAAGAAGATGAGGTGGAGCAGTGCCAGTGATCTTTGCAACTGAAGGAAGGCGTGTAGTTATGAGGATCTTGCTTCCTCTAGCACCTCCCACCAGTAATTTTTTCAAGCTCAACCATTTTTCTGGTTCTTCATTCCACAAGTCATCTAAAACTAAAAGATATCTCTTTCCATCAATTTCTGCCCTTAGTTCACTTTGCAACTGTTCCATTGCATCCTCACTGTGCCCTTTCTTCTTTGCACAAGCTATGATATTTGCAACTATTCTTTTCTCGTCAAAGTCATTGGAGACACAGACCCACATTTTCAAGTGAAAGTGTTTACTTACCATCTCATCATTATATATAAATTGAGCAAGTGCCGTTTTTCCAAGCCCACCAATACCAACTATTGGAAGGATGGAGACATTCTCTTTCACATTTGAATCCAATAAAAATTTTCTAACAATCGTTTTGTCATCATCTCTGCCTTTAATATCTCCCTCACTTACAAATGAATGCGTCTCTTCTCTTTTCCTCCATTGTCTCTCTACTAGTGAATCCACGGAGCGCTCATCCAAGTGGAATTTCCTATCAGCCTTAATGGCTTCTATTTTCTCCCTCACTGCTCTTACTTTGTAACTCATCTTCAGTTTAAAAGCAAGCTGGTTTGAACTTGAGAAAAATGTCCTTACCTCCTTGCTTATTTCACTGTGACCTCTCAGTTCTCGTCGCAAAGCTTCTATATTGACTTCTTCAAGCACGTCTTGCGCATCATAGAAAGCATCTTTTAGTTTCTCAAGCCAACCTTGGATTTGGCGACTCTGGTAGTATTGCTTCTCTGCATCATCCAGTACGGCCTGAATCGTGGAGATCGTGTCCCCGAGTGCCTTGAGTTCTTGCTTGATGCCCCATAACTTTCCAACCGTTTCTATTGCTTGAGGAACCAGATAAGCAACGATCTTTTCGGCAATGCCAACAACAGTTATCGCCATTTTTGTCCTTTGTAGCTGTCTTTGTCTCTCTGTGGATCAGAAGATATAAGTGTAGTCGGTCCAAGCCTAGAGACTTCTCACGACATGTATAAACAGTTAATGTTGATGCTCACCTGACACTGGCAAATCAAAAGCCTTACAAATCTAATTATCAACTTCTATGACGGACTTGAGCTGTTATAGATGGGAATTCTAATCATCCACACAAGCCTCAACCAAAAGTACGGACCCACCTGGGTCGTGTCCCATGCCCGCAAGAACACCTTTCTTTTTTTTTCAAAGGGTTCATTCTTCACTTTTTTGCGAAAAGATGACGGATCATTTTTTATATTCTTTGGATGGATTTAATGTATGACAAAGTTGTTAACAAAACGTTACAGTTTGATTAAGGAAGTTCAGTCTCCTTGCTTATCTCTCAAAATTATTTGCTTCCTGTGATCAATGCTCCTACATTTTTTTTCTTCCTTTATTTTTTCCTATTATCCAAATAAACAAAAAAAAAACTGCCTTAAAGCTCTTCCCATCCCATACTAGACAATTCCAAAACTTGCACATTTATGCAAAGTAAAAATCTATATCTTTACACAATCTTTTACTATTTCAGTTTTCTATTGTAATCGTATCAATTAATTTGGAATTCTTTAAATACTTGAAATTCATAGCTGTTCTTTAACAATTACCATGAGACAAGTCATCTCTTTTGTCTTTTAAGTCCGGCTCTTATTTCTATCCCCTAATATATTCTTCTTCTAATTTAACTCGATCTATTCAATATACATAATCAAATCTTTGTCGAATTTCCTATATGATCATACTATCAGCTTGCCTCTATCTTTTAATCTAAAGTTAGCTTTTCTTATTTACTTTATTTAAATTCAAATTCGAGATATTGCAACAACTTGTATCATTCTTTTTACACCTCAAACAAGCAACAATAATTATATTATTATGATAATAATCATTTCTTTTTATACGAAGTACAGCTAGTCTTCTTCATAATAATGTGTTATGCATGTCACACATCTATTGTTGTTAAATTGCAACATTCTTGTCGTCCCAACAATAATAGGAATGGTCTTAATCATTATTTTTTATGTGTTTTCTCTATGCATGACAATCCTTTTTGCATACTTCAATGAACTCTCATGTATGGTTTGTTTCATATTTAATAAATAAATTATTCCTATATAAAATTACCTAAATTTACTAACAAATGCCTTTATTAGGGACTTGTTATAGGTTATTTCACATTAGCATTGCTTTATGCAAGAGCAACTTAAGATAGGTGGCATGATCCTAAGTTGTTCTTATTTGTTTGATATGTTTTGGAGACTTTTGACTTAGTGAGCTCAGAGTATGGCTCTTTAAAGATGACCCGGCCTATTCCCTATGCCTTTCTATTGGGCTTGGTGTCGGCCCGTGTCCTATTGACACATGGTTGTATATAATTGGATTGAGACCCCCTTGGCTCGTAGTAGCCTATCCATGTGACATAATCCTATTAAGCAATTATTTTGATCCTAAATAGCCACATCAATTCACTCGTTAAGGTAGGATATAATCTTTTACATATACAGTGGATTGTGAGAGCTGAGGTTGGAGTTAGGACAACAATTAAATTCGGAAGAAAGTGACACAAATCCACTAGATATGTAAAAGATCACATCCAATTTATTAAGTAAGGCAAGTCGATGATGTTGTGCTTGTATGTTAAAGATTAAATGGGACGATTAAGTTCTTTCCCACTTTATTGTAAAGTATGTATATACGTTGGAGTTTTGCAATCAAAATTTGTCATTTAAATATTTTCTTTTACCTATAGTTGTTGTATACTTATATAATCAAATTTAATAAGTAAGGCAAGTAAATGTTGATATATTGTTCTAGAAAAATTATATTAGATTAAATTAGACGATTGAGTTTTTTTCTACCTTATTGTATAATAATATGTCTCATGGATGTTAAGGAAAATGGGAAGGATGGAGCTTTGCGATGATGTGGGTAACCATTTAACTCCATTTTATCAAAGTTTTTTATTATTGATTGATTATATATATATATATACTTAGTTTGGTTTCAAAAATGACACATAATAAAATAAAATGAAAGAAAGTAATCGTGATGATAAGAGTTAGCTGAGGTTTCTTAGGACTTGTTCGTTTGTGCTTTTTTAAAAGCAAAAGTAGTTTTTTGCTCTCTATAAAAATTTAAAATATCATTGATGTATTAAAAAAATTATGAAAAGATTATATGTAATTTATGTGAAAATTACATATGTTTCAGACCAAAAAAAAAATGTTAACATGCATCTGAAATGAGATTGGATTAAAAAAATAAAAACAAGCCTTTAGTTGTTTTGCCGATGCTTGTGAAATCATAGAGCTTGAAATCCACCATAAGAGGTGGACAAACTTGAATTGTTGAAAATAGGAAATCCCATCATCCATGCACATTACAAGATGAGGCCTAAATCAATATGCATATGGGACTCACCAAGGTCGGGACCGAGGTCCATGATTGGTTTGTCTAAAATCTTTCGTGCTTCTAGTGTTTACTCGTTTAACATGTTTGCAAAAGCAATGGAGATTCTGACGAAAACAAATCACTGATCTAATAGTTTATAAAACAATAATCCGATGCTTGCATGGTGAAAATAACTCAGAGAGCGAAATTACCAGGAGTATTGGTGATATTGAAGGACCGAATTTGACAGCAGTGAGCCTGAATGAAATGCAAGCGGCAAGATAAGAAGCAGGGAAGGAATGGTTCTCGAGTGCTGCTTGCGTTAATCCTCGTCGCACATCATATAGAGAAAGAAAATGAAAACATTCCTTTCTTATGTCGACACAACAAGGAAACTTGGGAATTGATCCCTTTCTTTGCCTCTTCAGTTACCCTTAACGCAAGAAGGGCCACACATCTGATTACTTTCTTTTATTCAACGGAAAGGTTCTTCCATAAGCAATAATCGTATTTTAGCAGGAGCAGCTTTAGAGCTAAAAGTGAAATGTTCAAGTTTGCAACCCAATATATCGGCAAAGTATTTGATCCCATTCTCGCAACGGTTAAGTTCGTCTTAAACGGGTTGAAACAATTATATCGTTTATATTGGATGGTCTCCCCAATTATTTTTTACTTTTAACACTATCGAAATATTATCTAATCGAAGTTTTTTTCCTTTTGCTTTTCTATATTACAAACATAGATATATTGATTTTAATAATTAGATACTCTTTATAGTATAATTTTTTTTTTTGCTTACAATTCGATTGAGTATTACTTATATATTCTTTTTCCTTATTTTGTTAATGCATTTCCTAAATTCATGAAATTAGACATTCCCTTTGTTTTTCCTTTGGTTATGTATACTTATGCGGTAGTCTCAATGCCCGCTGGCAGGCAAAGGCTATACCTTATTGTTCATTGGGGTATTAAGTCTTTTGCTGAACATTGCAGGATTATAATTTTAGCAAATAATATGACTATAATTTCAAACATAATGTTAAATATGCATCTCAATTAACAATTTGTTTTAGGTGACGTGGCTAGAGCATTCCAGTCATCAAGATTTTTTCTGTTAACTATTGGAGTCTTGCTTATCTTTCTGGAGATGATTGTGTTAGAATTTTAGTACACTCCGGTTTGTTAACCTCATGAATTTTGAGTATCGTGGTTCTATGTCAGTAAATGCACTTTTTTTTCTTTCTCTCTTCTATATTAATTGCGTAACTGCAATATTATGCCAAGATTTTACTTTCATTTTCGTTGATTATACGTCTCTCTAATTGAATTTACATTTGCATTAAACTATCTAGATTTAAGATTAGTGAAACTTTTCATTGTACTTGTATATTTTACTTAGAATTATTACTATAAGAGAAAGAAAAGAGGAACATTCCTTTCATATGTCGACACAACAAGGAAACTTGGGAATCGATCCCTTTCTTTGCCTCCTCAATTACCTTTAACACAAGAAAGGTATTTCTTTGCATTTCTTTCTTGCAAAAGGGGTCATGTCGGATTACCTTCTTTTGTTCCACGAAATGGTTCTTTCATATTCGATAATCATATTTTAGCAGGATCAACCCAAAACATCGGCAAGCATTTGATCTTCCAAGGCATCTTGCAACAGTTAAGTTCGTTTTGAAAGGGTTGAAATAGTTATATCTTTCATATGGGATGGTCTCCCCCAATCCTTTTTTCTTAAACCGCCATGAAAATATTATCTAATCGAAGTTTTGTCCTTTTGCTTTTCTATATTATAAACATAGATATTGATTTTAATAATTAAGTACTCTTTATAGTATTAATTCTTTGCTTACGATTCGCTTGAGTATTAGTTATATATTCTTTTTCGTATTTTGTTAATGCATTTCCTAAATTCATGAAATCAGACATTGGTCCTTTTTCCTTTGGTTAGATATACCTAGGCGCTAGTCTCAATGCCCATTGGCAGGCATAGGCTATGCCAATGGGCATAAAATTTTTTACTGAACATTGCGAGATTCTAATTTTAACAAATAATACGACTATAATTTCGAACATTATGTTGTTTATGGATCTCAATTACAAATTTGTTTTGGGTGATGTGGCTGGAGCATTCTAGCCATCAAGATTTTTTCTGTTGACTATTGGAGTCTTGCTTATCTTTCTGGAGATGATAGTGTTAGAATTTTAGTATACTCTAGGTTGTTGACCTCATGAATTTTGAGCATCGTGGTTCTATGTCACTAAATGCACTTTTTTTTTCTCTTCTATATTAGTTGCATAACTGCAAAGTTATGCCAGAATTTTACTAGATTTTAGTTGATTATGCATTTCTAATTGAATTTTCATTTGCCTTAAACTATCTAGATTTAAAATTATTGAAACTTTTCATTGCACTTGTAGAATTTACTTAAGTTATTTTCTTTTTGGTAATAATCGTACATTATCAAATTGTATAGTTGATTACATCCTTTTGATTCAATGGTATCTTTAGCATTACCATAGAGGTTTCATTCATGGTCTCATCTTTAAAATCATAAAGGCTACGTGGAATATTAGTATATGTGACGACTTATGAATAGATAATTAATTGCATTTTTTATTCATATAGTCAGACAACTATATTTCAAAGTTGAAGATAAGTTTCAATCTAATCCATCATGATCTTGTGGATATCGATCCATTTCCTAGACTTTCCTAAGATCAATCGACAGATTCATGCCCTAGACGAAGAAGAACGAGTGGCTGAAAGATACGCGAAGGAGGTAGCTTAAACTCGTGATTGTTTGAACTAGTGGGTTGTAGATTGTCCAGCACGTATGATAGAAGCAAACACCTCTTCCTTGTGTTGTGTCGGAAATAATTTGCTGAGAGAGTATGTGGTGGATGAAGGCTATAAAGGGCCCAGCCTTCTAACATTGGTGTATACGGCCTACGAGGTAGAAGAAGACGACCTACAAATCAACTGCCCCCCAACATCCGTCCGTACACACGACAACGAACAAAACTCTTTTGTAACGCAACTATTTAATAAAACAAAAGCTTCCCTTCCTTTGTGCTTTTGTTATCCCTTGGTGAGCCTTGTCCCGCGCTCTTAGGCACCGGGCACGTTACAAAAAAAATACCATAAAAGCCTTAAACCTATTATTTCTATACCAATTCAGTCATAAACATATTTAATTGTGCCAATTGAATACTAAATGTGACATTCCGAATTTCGGCCCATTTTTGGGATTTATAAAACGTGTAATTCGTCGAGGTGTGCTTATAGTAAAATCTCGCCCGGGAACTGATCACTCTCGGTTATTTTTTTTTTTAAATTGAGATTTCGCTAGAATCGCACTCGATCGAATTTGGCCGTTATTTAGAGCCCAAACGTTGGTATCAAATTTCTCGGAGTTCCGGGACGAATTTAATTGGACGGTGTCGATATTATTGTGGCCAGCCTCGATATTGCCCGGAATATGCGAAAAGTGAAATTTTTGACCGGATGCGGATTTGGACTAGTAGACCTCTCTCGTAGTGTGTTTTAGTTATTATCTTTTAGCCTTTTTCCTAATTTATAATTAGGATTTTTCGTAGGCCGTTGGATCATTTTCGGATTTGAACGATGATCGTCGGATTGCACTCAAATGCATTTGACTTTCTCTCTCTTCTCTCTCTCTCCTCCCCCACGTCGCCGCTGCCCCCCACGCCGCTGACTTCCTCTCTTCCTTCACGCCCGCTGACTCCCCCACGTTGTTTCTGCCACCACTCTGCTGCAGCTTCTGCTTCACGCTGCTGCTCCCCCCATGCTGCTGCTGCTGATTACTTCTGCTTGCTAACCGCTGACACCCCTTCTTCTGCTGACTTGTTGACCTCTCCTCCTTGCTGACTTCCTCTGCTGACCTGCCGCTGCCCACGCCTTTGCTGCTGCTGCCCATGATGAACTTCACATGCTGCTTCTGTTCTGCCCTTTTACCGCTGCTTCTTCACTTCTGTTGCTGCTGTTTTCTTCTTCATTTTGCTTCGTTGCTTCTTGCTTTTTCTTGCTGCTGCTCACCAGACCTTCGTCCATCTCCACCAGCCAACCACCTCAGCCGTCCGGCGACCGCTCGCCGCCGTCCAGGTCGCCGGAAATCGCTTAGCCACCCGTCTGACCGCCGGAGCAACTGCTGCTTGCTTGGCTTGGCTTTGTTAGGCTCCCTAGCTTGAAAATCTTGCTTAGGCCTTGGGTAAGTGGCTTCCTAACCCTTGACTAGGCTAAGGGGTGACTAATGGACATGTTACGGATGGTTTAAGGGCTGTGGATAGTTGGTTTAGTGGCTGGTTGTGCTTGGTTTGCTTGGTGGTGCTTGTTGGTTAATTTCCGGTAAGGTTGCTGCTGCGTTGCTGGATTTTTCTATTTTTACTGTGACTTGTGTAGGCCGAATTTGAGGAAGTGTTCTTCATGAAAGTTGTTCATAACATCTTGAAGTTTGACATATATTAAATCTGGAATTTTTGGAGATCATTTAGTTCCATTCGTAAGTCCATTTTTGGACCGAATTCAGTCCGCCGGATTTACTGTTCATCCGACCATCTGGTCTCTCCGATTTTCTACAAATTTTTCCAGACCTCTTTTCAACAAATTTCCTTCACAAAAATTGTTAAGAACATTTTTTTCTATGACATATAAAAATTTCAAGACTTTCCAAAATGATTTGGGTACTGGATGAGATGCATTTTGATGGTCAGGCGGCCTGACTGGACGAGTTGAATTTTGTCTGACTTCAAGTGACAAAAAGTGGTGTTTACATTAGGAACTGGGTTTCGAGTTCTTCACGGAAAATGTTTATCAAGATGTTTTACACGACATATCCAAATTTCATAATTTTTGAAGTTGATTTACTATTTATTTTAAACGAAATTCGGTGACTATGTTACTGCCCAGTTTGGCCCCGATTCTGTGCATACTTGGTTTTTCTCTCTCTCGAGAACTTATCGGTGTTACCATGACATTTTGGTGGATTTAGTTGACATTGGGCTAATTTACAAAGATAAGAATTGGTAATGATTGTTGAGGTGTGTGCATGGTCACGACACGTTCCGTCTAGGCGGGAGTTCTAGACGATGCCCGGCGGGAGTTCGGATGCCATCTAGGCGGGGGTTCTAGACGTTGCCGATCGCGGTAGAGGCCGGATCGATGCTCCTTTGTGGAATGCCGTCTGGGCGGGGGTTCCGGACGTTGCCGTCGCCGAAGTAGCGGGACAATGCCTGGTTATGCCAGAAGACCGGCGGGAGTTCGGTGGCCCAAG